TTATTGTTGTGTTGAAGGAATGTTTAACATGAAATAAATACATTGACTAAATAATAAACGATTCAAGAGTGTGTAAAACTTCTGCTTTTTTTATTTCAAAACTTATGTTAAAGATTTATTCTACACTTTTTTTGTATATTTACAAACTTTTTTAATTTTTGGATTTATTTTAGTGTTTAGTCAATATTTTGTATGAAGTGGAATAATCTCAACGGCCACTCTTAGAAATCAACATGGGAATAAAGGTTCGTACAGGCAATATTTGCTCATTAAGTACTGTGACAAGTTCCAATGGGCGGAAAAACGATATTGTTTGGAGGGGATTTTAAACAGGTACTGCCATCTACTCCAAGCAAAAAAGGTTAAAATAATATAGCCTAGCATGCACGGTGGTAAAGGGAGCATCCATACATAACAGTAAAATCTAGAGGTAGTTTCCGTTTCTTAAAACTAACCAAAAATATGCATGTCAAAAATGCTGTAAAAAGTATTTTCGGAATTGGTTTCGATAACTGAGTAATGGAACCCATATCAGTCGCAAAATAGTTAGGAATCAGCCGTTGATTAGACCCTTTTTTAATAGAATACTAGAGGACCCATGCTGCTCCGCAGCGTTAAAATAAATATAATATCCATGAAATAATCAAATTTATGATTTTTCATTAAGTGATTCTTAATCACTTAAATAAAAGAAAGTTCTTAGACCAAAATATATAGGATTATAATAATTATAACTGGTGAAATACATCTTAAATTGATGTAAAAATTCAAAAATTAATCAAATTGTTTTTTTAGTCGAGCAATACAGTAGGTAAGTATTCGCCGATGATTGATGTGAAATCTTTGAGTGCATGACTTTAATTTGAGACCTAAATCATGCAAATTGATCAGGTAGAAGAGCCAAACGAACTCGGAAAAGAAATACCAATTTTTTTAAATATATAAGATGTAAAGTAAATATTTAGGGTTGTACCGTTGATTGTTATGGACAACTCTTAGTTTTGGATACAAATTGTTTTGACAAATCTCGCTTTGTGTTTTCCTTAAAAATCAATCAATTCCCTGATTGATTTTTAAGGAAAAAACCAACATTTTAAAAAGAAAAGTATATTATCATTGTAAACATTAATCCACTTATTTCGCATTGCTTTATAACCGACTTCCCCACTACCAACAAAAGGAGGAGGTTCTCAATTAGTTTGTGGCAATGTTTTTTTCTATGGATATTCACAAATTTCTCTGCGATTCTTTTACCGATCACCGTGGTTCCACCACCAAAATAACCAGGGGAGTTTCCCTTTGGTACCATACATAACATAATTAATGTTTACGTGTAATATTTGTTTCGGTGAAAAATTCTGAAAACCTCAAATATTCAACATTAATTTTATTTACGTTTGTGCAGAGAAGGGAATAATAAAACATATATGTAGTTAAGGGAGATAAAGGTAAATCATGCATGCGAAAATTTTATTCGTTATTTGTTTTTCTCATATCAGCCTACACAAGATTGAAAATTAATCAAAACCAAACTAGCGGTTTCCAATAATTTTTAGATTTAAAAGTCATAAAGACGATCTATGCCATCTATATATAAAGCCAAAAGTACCCATGAATTTTTGAGAAAACTAAAAGTCACAACCCCATAAACCATATACTTAAAATGTTCGTCATGACGAGAAACCTTGCGCAAAACTTTCCATTATTTCTTAAATTGTCCTATAAGGTCGTAATTGCTTTCCAAAGGGAACTTTCCATATACCTAATGTCAAAAATACCTCAGCTGTAATGATTGGTATGTTATTCTTTCAATTTATTATTTTATTAAAATCAGGTGAGATTATTTGTTTGTATTACTGTACCTGTTCTGTTTTGTTTATTTCAGCTTAACCTAACCAATCAATATATTATGAAGTCAAAAGGGTATTATCACTTAGATAAAATCCATTGGTGATTTGGCGAGATTTGAACCCGGGACCCCAGGAACCTGTGTCCAGCGCTCTAACCACTACACCAGCTTGATCCCCAAAATATACTGTATAAGGAGTAAAAAACTATTAAGCAAGCTCTTATTTTCAAATTTTTATATGACTTGGGAAATATAACCAAGAAACGCTTTATTATTGGTGTGTTGCTAGCATATTGGTTAGTATCTCAGACTTCGGTGAGGAAGTGTCGGGTTCAATTCCCAGCACACCCACAAAACTGTAATGGTTATGAACCGCTTTCCCTTAAAAGCCTTTAAACTAAACTAACATTTACTTAAATATTTAAAAAGACATTGGCGTAGAAAAAAAAGAAAAAACTGCCATTTCATCCTAGAAGCCAATTTGGACTTATGGAATCCAACTGTGGGGAACATCCAGTATGTCGAACATAAACATCATCCAACGATTTCAGTCAAAAGTTTTAAGGTTCATTCTGCAAGCCCCGTGGTATGTTAATAACAATATCCTTCACAAGGACAGTGGAATTCCTACGGTTGAAGAGGAAATAACCAAATTTAGTGCAAAATATCTAAAGAAACTTGAAAATCACCCTAATCACCTGGCTCTAAACCTCTTGGACAACAGTACCAGTATATACAGGCTAAAAAGGATTCATGTTTTGGATCTAAGCACACGTTTTGTTTGAACAATTTAATTTTCCCTTGTTTATTTACATATTTATTTTTTTCATTGAAATATTTTTAAGTTAGCTCTGTCAATGGACAGAGATTAACTAACGTTTTATTAAAAGTTGTTATTGTATTTGCTAAATGTTCTAAAAATGAACAGATTGTAAATAAAATTGTGAAAAAAAGGGGTGAAACCCTTGGGTAACAACTAGTAAAGGTTAAATTTTGTTTCTAAAAGCGTTGATGGATTTGAAAGTATTTTATGCAACAGATGTAAAGATACACACACACACACATATGTTTATATTTTGTGTCCTCTTCCCGTTGCAAAGCACAGGTACAACAGCTAGTTAAGACATAAAACTTGTATACGACGTCCTGTTTAACAACAAAAACATTTATCAGACGTTAAAAGTTTCATCTATGACAATTCAGATTCCACGCCTGTTTGATCAAAACATTAAAATGTTCATTTGTATAACCATTGATTATGTAACCTGAACAGGTGACCCAAGCAGTTTTACAATATAAAAACGTGTTCTGCGACGTATTTGATCAGTCCAAACAATTTTGCATTTCAAAAAACCTTAAGTAATTAATATATGTATAATAAATTATATAGTAAAAAAAATCATGAAATAATTTTACTGTTGGAAAAAATCCCGACTTCAAACGATCTAAAAAGAATGAAATAACTTTAATAAAGTAAAGTAATAATCAAGCTCGCGTGCAATGAGGTCATTTTCTTTAAATTTTGAATATGTTGTTTCAAAACATGAGCCGCACCGCCTTAAAATACGTGAGCTTGACTATTACAAAAGTTTACTTAATTAACTTTATTTCATTCTTTTTAGAGCTTTTGAAGCCGTTTTTTTTTTTATAAAATCATCCGACTTCAATATTGAAGGCCATCTGCATTGTATTTTCCCTACACAAACGTCAGTCCTACAAAGAAATGTTCTAAAAGTTCCGAATTCTAACCTTTCCATCCATATTCATTTTTGAAACATCATCCTTAACTAGAAAAAATATATCTTCTTTTTGTTCACAGCTCAACAACAGATATCCATTTCGTAATTCTTCCGACCTTGCAGTTCCAAATTACTCAACGTGATTCTTCCCAAATAATTTTCAATACAATGCCGTCAAGCTTTTTAATAACCTTCCTCCTTCCCTAACTTTTCTGAATAATGCCTTCTGCTATTGACAGATTTAATTTAGATAAGAGATAGTTTTAGTTTATGTAAATATTTCCGAATGTTTTTGACGTAGCTAATGCATTTTATGTCATTTTTGCTGAATAAACTACTTATGACTTAAACAATGTTTATGCAAGGTTTGGCTATTAAAAGAGTAAATATCAACATCGACTGTAAAATAAATTAATGTGTTGTGAATTGCTAGGCCAACATGCCTATCCAAATAAATTAAAATTTCACTGAAAATTTAAAAATTAAAGGCAAAATTTGTTGTAAATATAACGCGAGTTTCCATTATATTACTTTTACAATTGAAGTAAACTACACCGAGCCATGGCTTGGTCCCCAGGTACTCAAAATATAAATCTGTAATCAACAATCTCATTCTAAACTCGTTATTCACGTGGTTTGTGATTCGTGAAGTCTCTCTCTCACAAGAGATATGATTCTTTCTGAAACCCCAAACATTTCTCGAGCATAACCTCAATTTCGAATTGCTGGGGTACGAGTTCTTGCAGACACATCAATGTCAATATGCCGTTTGCTCTTGCTGATTATGAATGGGCGCCTCACGCCTGATGCTAGTTCCCGATTGATTTTCCGTGCGTAAGGTTCGTTGGTTCAACACGTGCACGATCCTCCCCCACCCTAAAACACGTGCTCGTCGATACTGCACCCCGACAACGCATCCATTAGTTAAACATTGCAATTGTTGGATGAATACTTAGGCCTACGTATATGTTCGAATAAAATGTATTTGTGATACAATTTATTAATTTCTTATCAACAAAAGATACCATAATTTAAAACAGACAGCTTTTTGTTCTCTTGTTATCTACCATGGTAATATTTTTACAGGATTAATTTCAGAGAGTACTCAGAGGCTTTTAGGGAAAGCGGTCAAAACCCATATGTTTTGTGGATGTACCGTGAATCGAACCCGACCCTCCCACACCGAATGCCGAGGTATTAACCACTAGCTAGCAACACTAGACGTTTGGTAAGTCTGAGGCCTGTAAATTGATTTTTTTCGGAAGAAAAATGAAGAAATTGGTTTGTTTTGAAAAGGAACATCACGCGTAGACTGAAATCGGTGCAGGACAAGTTGGTGTTCTGCTTGTTTCTTTTAGGGTTAAATATTTATGCTATTCTGTATGCAATATGTGAACATTGTGGATGTTTACCTCGCCTGTCTCGGCTAGGTGTCGTGCCGGGACAGACGACAGACACTGCAGCCACTACACTGACACAGACACACACACACCACTGCAGTACCTTCCACCTACCACTCAATACTGACTCTAGCGCACTGACGTCTTGACGCGGCGCGACCCCTTGCGCAGGCGCCTCTGCCCCTCTACCACTGCGGGCCATCAATATGTTGAAAAACTTGACGTTTACACACAAAAGTTTAAAAAATACACTCGACACTACACGAAGGAGTTTCTTTGTTATATGAGCTAACAGCACGTTTTAAACGTCGACACGACCGTAATACACAACCAAAACAAACCTCGTAACCTCAACCTTAATTGGACGCCATGATTTGATATGCTCGACGGAGCAATCAGCAGAACTTAATTTTGGAAACAACTATTTTATAAATTAGGATGTTAAAAAGCACAGAAGTATAAAGAAATTAAATGGTCTGAATTAATATTTTGTAACGTGACAACCTATCTTTTTTCCTTTATCTTCCTATTCACAGTAAAAAACCAGGAAGACAATCCTGGGTCTAGGTCTTCCCGAGCTACCTACGATGACAGCTACAGGGGATACCTATAAGAACATTCCTTAAAACTGTAAATTTAAAATTCCGATATAATTTAGGTATGCATTATTAAAATGTATTTACTTATACTCAAATATACAAGTGTACCTGTTGCTCGAATTCGAGTAATTGCGAAGTATTACAGGCGTTATTTTAAAACTAATAACAGTTACTCCACTCAAAGATTATGAGAATACTTATAATATGGACGTACTCATGGATGTACATAACAGTCGATATAATCATTATTTCTTGTAAATATCTTATCATTTTTCAAAAGCAGTTCTTGTTTTTTAGCGTTTTGTACAAATGTTTCACTCTCATAGCCGCTTATGTTGCCCGAAACGTTGTGTATTGTTTTTTACATTCATGATGGAAAACGTCCGCAATAAACCTTTGCACAACATAAACTCACCATCACCAACAATGAACTTCAAACAAAGAATTGATGATAGTTATTTTGTTATTGCTATGTTTTTGTTTCAACAAGTTCACCTCTATTAACATTTTGTTCTTAAATAAAATGAATATTATTTAATCTATCCATCTATCTTCTATATTATTAATACGCTACATGAAACTTTGTGAACAATAAGGTTTTTTTTTAGTTTTAACCCCACACATTATATACCAAAATGTTCGTCTAGGTGTATAGATTTGCAAACTGACCTTACATTTTTGTAAAAAGTCTCTTGGGCTCTGCCCCAGTGGCCTTTAAAGTTCCCACGTTATCCTTATGAAGAACATATTTGTTTACATTATGATCAGCTGGATAATTTAATTGCTGTTAATATTTTAGTTACAATTTAAGGAAACGTGTGCTATAAACATTTTGAGATTTTGGTTGAAATTGAATTTTTACTTTCTCCCACCATAGTATATGGAGAAAGTATTGTTTTCGTCAAAATTTTCGAGTTTGAGTTTTGAGTGGATATATTCGTTTTGGGTCCCCCTGGACCCAAAAAAGTGGTTTTCGAAGTGATGTCTGTGTGTGTGTGTGTGTGTGTCTGTGTGTCTGGATGTGTACAGATCTAGAGACTACATCCATGGTATCTCGAGGCGTTTTTTCATTTTTTTTTAAATTTTAGCGAATTTCCCTATAGGGAAGTAGCTATTACCGTAGGTGGCACGGTAAGACCTAGACCCGGGACCGATTTACTTTTTCATTTTGATGTCCCCAGAGGCCAAAAACACTATTCGTTCAAATTTTTATATATGTATATACATATATATAGACATATATATATATATATATATATATATATATATATATACGTCCGTGAACGCGATAACTTGAGTAATTTTTTTCCGATTTTGATGAAATTTGGTTTAAAGGTGTAAAGCGGGATAAACTTGAATGAGTTCGCGAACCAGCACGATCGGACCATGGGAACGGGGCTTTACGGGGGGTTTTATGGGGTAAAAATTGGTTTTTCTCACTTTTGACCCTCAAAACACAAAATTTCCCAATTTCTCTTTAGACCTTTTTAAAGAGCTTAAAAAAACAAATAATTTAGTATATAAAAGTATTTTTGTTCGAATATTAGTAACGGAGAAAATTAAAAAAATTGTAAATTTAAAATTCCCATGTTATTCTTATGGACAAAATTGTCAAATGTTGTAGTTTGCTTGTTTATGAATATATTTTGATCAAACTTGGCAAATTTATTTATTTTGTACTAAGCTATCAATATTTTACTCAAAAACACACTTTATTAGTTTCCTTGTAGCAGCAAACCTAGGTACTCGTTAAACCTAATGTTATTAAAATATATTTAACTGAAAATCAATTCAGACAAATGGAAATTCGCTTAGTCGGCAGGTTTGCTGCGGCGGGGGTATTGATTTTTAATGGGGATTTTCCCATAAAAACCCATAAAAAACCGGAAAAATCGGATCTTCTCAAAAATGGCCCGAACGATTTTGATAAAAATTTAGTATGTTGTAGCCCTTTAAATTCTGAACAAAATGGTACAAACCCCATTTCTGTAAAAATTACGGTTCAAAAGTTATGGTAAGTTATGTTATTTTCCCATAAAAACCCCATAAAATAACAAAAAATAGGGTTTTTGACAAAAATCCGGTTTTAATTTAACATAGTATGTTATGGTCCTTACAATTTTGATAGTTTTTTTCATTTTTTAGAAATTTTTTATTTTTAATGGGGATTTGCCCATAAAACCCCATAAAATAACGGAAAAACAGGATTTTCCCAAAAATGGCACGAACGATTTTGATAAAAATTGTGTATGTTATAGTCCTTTATATTCTGAACAAAATGGTACCAATCCCATTTCTGTAAAAATTACGGTTCAAAAGTTACTGTAAATTATGTTATTTTTCCCATAAAAACCCCAAAAAATAACGGAAAAATCGGATTTTCCCAAAATTGGCTCGAACAATTTTGATAGAAATTAAGTATGTTAGTCCTTGAAATTCTGAACAAAATTTTTCAAATCCCATTTCCGTATATTTACTCTCACCTTACACATGATGAAGGTTGTTGACAAACTTATGGGAGAAAGTATGTGTCAGAATGCTGATACCGTTTATTACTATTTATTACAGTGGAAAAAAGCGAGAAAGCCTGGACAATTTGATATACTAAAAAGAAAACTGAATTAACACTTTGCTGCGTTTCTTGAGTACCGTAATCATTGGAAGAGTTGATTTTCAAACCATGGAAACATAGAAAATCCATAGAACACCACTAAGTAACAAGTAGAAGAAATATAAATAATAGTGCACCTGTTGCTCGAATTCGAGCAATTGCTAAGTATTATAGGCGTTATTTCAAAACTAATAACAGCCATAATTTCGGATGACTTAAAAAAAGTCTACTCAAAGATTATCAATCACTCCACTCTAGTTATCGAAACTGCAAACTAACGCACTCTGAATACAAATGCTCACTCCTCTACAGTTATTGAAACTAAAAATTAACTCACTCTGAAAACGAACTCTCTTGTGTGTATTATAAACAGCTGCAATAATTAATATAAATTATTCGTCTGTTTAAGCAAACAAAATCTATTTGATGGCCTGTGGGGCAAAGCCCGAGGACTTTTATTGCAGGAATTGTTGAAAGGGGGGGTCTACTGGGTATACACAACAAATACTTAATTGTGACACCTCGTTTGGAAAAATCCGTCCATTATTAACGGAGGAGTAGTTTTTAGTAGAAATCGCCTTCACGTATTGTATATAAGGATGTTTTGTTTTTTTAGAATTTATAATCGTTAGTTTGGGCAACATAATGACTCCACCAAGCAGGTTTCATTGCAGTATCCACTGCGAACGGTGCTATTAGTGTTCCATTGTGTGAGCTTTTTACGTTTCACCTTTTATAGATTATAGTGTTTTGTGATATGTTATTATTTGCATGTTGTATCATGACTTGACTGCCATACAGTGCATATTTTTTACTGCTACCCTCTGTTGTAGTATATTCCAACTTAGGTTGGGCGTTTGTGTATTATTAGTTGTAATGTGTTAGTTAAGTTTTTTCACCTGAGGACGGGATCAGATTCCAGGTCCCGAAACGTTGTGTATTGTTTTTTTACATCCGTGATGGAAAATGTCCGCAATAAACCTTTGAACAACATAAACTATTATCATATGGGTAAATTAAAACAGTAACATAATGACAGTCTTCCTTCCTTATAAATTCAACTTCACTGGGTTTCTCCTTGGTCTCCTTACAAACGTTTGTGACCTTACTGGCGTCCAACTCTTGGTGTTTTCAAGCACTGTTGAGGGAAAGGGACAGTAGGTGTTTGGGGAAACTGATTAAAACGAACTGGCGTATCAACTCTTGGCGTTTACTAATTAAAACTAACAGTTTGTTTTTGCAACGTTGCTGGGGTTTCTTTCTGTACGGGTTCACTGTCATCATGGCTTCCATTTAACCATCCTTCCATATTGATACAGTCATCCCTAAATGTTTTTATTGGGGAGTTTTCTCGATCGGATTGTTCTTGCGTGGAAGATAATAGTATAGTTTATTCATCACATCTTTGTGATATCGAGCAGCTTCTTATTTGATCTATGTGTCTTCTCCTTCTCTGACCTTCAATCACAATCCAATAATGAAGTAATCCATCCAATTCAACAATCTTACTCAAACTCCACTGTTCCCCCCTGGATGAGAAGAACGAACATGGACAGAATCATTAACCTTAAATTCTCTGATTGGTTTTTGAAATATTGATGTGCTTTCAAACTGTCTATAATATCCTCTGTTCTGTTTTAAAATCTCTCTTGATCAAATCTATTTTTGTTCGTAGTGATCCTTTTAACATTAATTTGGCAGGGCTCTTGTTAGTGGAAGAATTTTTGACCTTCCGTCACAAAAATCCTGCTTGCGTATTAAATAAGTATAGACAGAGATGTGATAAACTTGACAAAATTGCACAACATTGGGTTTTTAAACGTCCGTATCATTATTCACAAAGTAGTGAGACCATATTTAAATAGCTAAAGACATGCTCGCCAATCCAGTGAATGCATTAAAACGATTTGGA